CGACAACGGACAAAACTGTTGTTTATAGATTTTATGCATTGTGTTATTCAGAAGAGGATAAGATATGAAAAAAAATAATAGCGTGTCCAAACGGTTTTTTTTTCAAATTGATTAACTTTATTGACGATTTTTGAGAATGGAAATTGAGGTTACATTGAATTGTAGTACCTTATTTTCTAGAGGAAAACTGAATAGATGATGTTGAAATAATTTAACGCGGTCACACCTAAGTGAAAGAATAATTAATATTTTAAAATCGGTAAGAAATAACGAAAATAACCAGGCAAAATTGCCAATGGAATCGAATGATAGCCCAGTCTATTGGCTAACTTCGTAAGGACCTTAAACATTTGTTGTAACAAATCCGCGAACAAGTTCAAGAATCATGTACGTGTTTTCAATGTGAACAAATTAAATGATGGTTACTACGCCTTTAACTTAAGAACGGATGGCCTGATTTTGACAATTCACACTATTTCGGAATGGTCTCTTGGCCTGAAAAGGATAAAATCCAAAATGTAGCTTAAAAATACGCCAATAAAATGTGAGTTAAAAATTTTTTGAGATGTATATATTTTTTTAATTTTTCATAATTTTAAATATTGCGTGATTTTTTTTTTCAATTTGAAGTTTAAATTTTTTGTTTGAATTCTGAATGTAAGGTAAAAAAAGAGATTAGTGCACAATACGATGTTAAATGGCAATCTTCCCAAACAAACAAAGAATGACCGATAAATTTATATAGGGGTCATATCAAACCATGGACTTAATTTTTAATTTGGTATTAATACGCCCAATGAGAACTCGAAATTCAATTGCAATCAGTAAAATGCCGAATAAAAAGACGAATTCGTTATGCGGACTATACAAAATGGTACAACGAATCGAAAGAAAATAAATTATATACTCCGAAAAATTTAAAGTTACTTAAATCTTAGGTACCATTAAACAGGAGTGTATGCGCAATAGCGAGTAATGGCATTGTGAAATGCACAATATGGGCTTTGGAAAATTCTGAGTGAATATTATTCGGTTAGTAGATCAAAATCCTGAAAGGGTTTATGGTTCCCAGGCCAAACTTTTTAAGGCCCGTTATATAGCCCAAACCATACACAAGGAACTTAACTATTTTTCTCTAAACTTCGCAAAATTTGCGATAGAAAAGAGAAAATTGGAACAAAATTCTAAAATTGGGAAAAAAAATCGAGAAAATTTGTTCAATGGAATAGAATTTCAATATGATAGCTACTTGGGAATGGTCTCTTGGCAAAAAGGGATGTAATCACGTAAAAAATTGTTATTTTTTTAATTCTGAATGAAAGATATTGGAAAAGAAATTAGAGCACAATACGACGTTAAATACTGTTCTTTCCTGACAAGAATTAACATCTCAGGACCTACATCGCGCTTCTGCTGTAAGACCCGAACTCCTAATTATTTTTCTTTCATACAGTAATAATCCGTCTAATGAGGACGAAAATGTAAAATTCTTTGGGACGGATGTCAATGAATTTCCCAATAAGAAGGGGCCTCAAATATGTTGCTCTATATTTCGCAACATTGGTTAAAAACATCTATATTAAATAGTGAAATTTTATGTTCAAAATATCAAATATTTAGAAAAGATCGTGTTTGTAAAAAAGGTGGTGGCGTCCTTATTGCAGTTGATACCAAATATACCACTAATTTAATTGATCTAAATGATTTTCTTGATATAGAATTTGTTGGTGTTTCCATTGAATTGGGCATATCTAAATTGTTTGTAACTTGCTCTTATATTCCCCCTTCATCTTCACTTGACATTTATAATCAGCATTTATCAGCAATAAATTTAATCGCGGAAAAAATGAAAGATTCCGATCGCATTCTGATCCTTGGTGATTTTAATATGCCCTCCATTAGGTGGCTTCCAATGCCAGATTCTGAAGCCAGATTCTGATAGTCTTACTAATGTGTCAAATTATAGAGGAATTGCAAAATTAAGTGCCATACCAAAATTGTTTGAAAAATTAATTACTGCAGTAATTTCACAGAAAATTCAATCTATATTGAGTCCATATCAGCATGGTTTTCGTAGTGGTCTTTCAACTACAACAAATCTTATACAATTTACGTCAACAGTAATAAAAAAAACCTAATTCCATAAATTACTCGAAATTGTTAATGTACGCAGATGATGTTAAATTATTCATTTCCCATAATTGTGATAAACGAGCCAGTTTACTTCAAAACGATTTAGATAGCCTTTTTAAATGGTGCAAGTTTAATTGTATGGAGTTAAATTTAAGCAAATGTAAACATATGTGCTTCTCTAGATCTTCTTCTCTGATATTACAATATAATATTGACGGTCATTCATTATCAACTGTAGATTCATTTGTCGATCTAGGCCTCTTGATGGATCCAAAATTAAATTTTAATAGCCATGTAATAACAATGGTAAATAAAGCAAATGGTGTTTTAGGTTTTGTTAAACGGTGGGCCAAAGAATTTTCTGATCCATATATAACAAAACAGTTATTTACGTCTCTTGTTAGACCTATATTGGAATATGGTTCTGTTGTATGGGATCCTCAATATGCAATATATTCAGATAAAATAGAATCCGTGCAAAAACAATTTCTGCTATTTGCCTTACGAGGTTTACATTGGAATAGTGATTTTGTTTTGCCTTCTTATGCTAGCAGGCTAAAATTAATTAGATTGCCTACACTTAAAAGCAGACGTATTATGTTGAACTCCATGTTTGTACTAAAAATATTAAATGGTTATATACCTTCAGATTTCCTAATCTCATCTATTAGAATTAATGTTCCTTTTAGATCTAGTAGATTCTACCAATTATTATATACTGATTTTCACCGCACGAATTATTCAATGGGCGAACCTCTTAATAAAATGTGTGTTGACTTTAATTCTGTGTATTGTAATGTAGATTTTTGTATGAGTTTAGAAGTTATTAAATCTAGAATAATTTTATTTTTAAACAATTAACATACATGTTTTATTATTTGACAAACTAGCTGATGAATTAGATTCTGTAGCTGGTTTTCAATTTCCTACTGAATTCCCATTATGATGCGGATCATGATGTGTACGCGATGCCTCCGTAAAGGGAGGTCGCCCCCTCGGTCGGCAGGGGTGGGAATGTGAGGCGTGGGAACGTTCGAAAAACAAAAAAAAAAACAAAAAAACAAAAAATTAAGTAGAGCTTTTAAATTTGATACAGGCTTATGGGATATATGTAGAACTATTTGTACAAAATATGGATCGTATCGGTAATTGTTTTGGTATAGCACCCACTTAAGGGTATATCCCGATTTCAAGTATTTTTTATATGTTAGCCAAATTTTTCATATTAATGTCGGCAAATTATAGTGATTTGAGTTCTTAGTAAGAAAATAACATCCTTGCAAAAAATCGATATAGGTCCACGTTTTGATATAGCCTTCATATGAAGGTGTTCCCTGATTTTAACTATTTCCGGGGTCTTGGCCACATTTTTCAATTGATTTTGCAATTATTTAGTTTCTACGGAGATAGAAAACCACTTCGAAGAAAATTGTTAATGTAGGCCAATGTTACGGAGTAGCGCACATACAAATGTACCTCTTGATTTCAACTATTGCTAACAAATTTCCAATCGATTTGGCTAAAAATTTGAAACACCGAATAATTTAAAAACTACAGAATAATTTCAACATAGGTATAAATTTTGGTATAGTTTCCATATAACTTTACCTCCCAGGTCCACTAATATGAGCCAGATCATTAAAAGTAATTGAAGAATAGCACTACGGACCGGCAACGCGGACCCGGCCAGCTTGTGAGATATAAATTGTAGAATCTATTCTTTCATATACCATTTTATGAGCACAAAATGTCTTTGTTGATGTAAGTCGTTATTTACCTCCATTCCCATTACTGTGCTAAGAATTGATCATTGGACAAAAAAGATAGAATTTATACTTAAAAATTACAATAAATTAATAAATAACAACGCAAAGTAACACTGTGCGTCGTTTGGAGGGAAAGCGAATCCAGGTATACCATTCGAAGAGCGAGAGATTAATGTCAAAGATAAGAGAAGTTCATCTAAATCGGTAACCAACACTGGGAACCAGGACTGCGCCTAGACAGGTCGAATATCCATAAGTGGAGGCCATGTTGTTAGTGTCCAACCCACGGAGCGTTAACTGTGTCTATTTAGAACGAACATGTTTAAGCGGGAGGCAATGTTACGAATGTTACTCGTAGATTTGTTATCCTATTGTTTTTTCCCATATAAAAGTTGTATACTATACTAGCTAAAGAGCTGTGAGCTAAGTATTGTGATGCCGGATAACGAAGAAGTGTAAGCAATCGGGGATAAAGACGATTTGAAGGTGATCGAAACCAAGTTTCCATATATAGTCAGAATATTTGATGAATGGACGTCGGGTGTTCGGTAGTCGGATATTTCAAGATAATCGGGAACGCTGATGAATGGGCGTTGGGTGTCCGACCGATAGAAAACAGGTGTATCGGCGTTTGGTACGCAGGTTTTCGGGTCGAATCGGAAACTCGTTTCAGCGATGTGGCGGTTTACGCGTGTTGTTTGAGTTGTGTTGTGGGCAACGATTACCTCTATGTCACTACTCCTGTGGAACATCAAAACAAATTGTTTGTGAAAAAGCGAGCAGAGACTCTTGTTGAACAGTGAGCCAAAGCTCCTGTGGTCGACGCTTCGCCTTCGTCATCTGGTTTTGAGAAACGGTTTACTATTACCACCGTTTCCCTTGTTCTCAAAAATAAATTGATAACTTATCGTAACATTAGTGAATTTCACCGACGACAAATTATTTAGAGAGAATGCAATATCTACGAGCACAGGGTCTCTAAATTGTTTGGTAAACTCTTCTTAATACCTCCCTCGCTTTCACACTTCCATTTCGTCACAATTCGTAGACTTGGAACATTAAAATGTTGAATTTATCTATTGGCTTAATTAATTAAAACACTTTTTTTTAAATTTGATCATATTTTTATTTTAAATTTTCCCTAAATACATTCAATTTAAGATATCTAATTCAACCTTTTCTACAACGTATGATCCTCGGTCATTCCACCATTGGAATATTATTGTTCTTCTTCTTCGAATCACGAGGAATATAAGAAGCACGAATACTCCTTGCAGGCCATTTATCATGTCCATCAGTATCAAATATATCTGTGGCCCAGGAGAATAGAATGTAACAATTTCCAGCAACCAAGTGCATATAAGTATTAAACCGAGCAAACTAATACATTTTGCGCTGTAATACATTTTTTTTTAAATACAGAAATCAATTAAGACCATACATACTCTTTTTTAACTTCTTCGTAAATTTTTAAATCCTTAGGGGAGGCCACATCAGAAATCGGACTTGTTGCTAAGGAAATACCACGACTTTTAAATTTCTGAAACCCGAAGAATGTTGCAGCCATCACAAAGAAAGAGAAAAGTAGTAGCGTGGATACAGGAGGAATGAAGTATCGTTGCGACTCCCTAATGGCTAAAGAGGGAAAAGAAATAATTCAGTAAAAGTGCGTATTACGGAGTATTTGATTAACGGCTCACAAATATTGTACTATTGTGGTAATCATTTGGTAATGGTTAACAAATGCAAAATCAGAGTGTTATATAATATTAAATTCTACTCACATTCTGTGTAACCTTGTATAAAGTACGAAGGCATTCCGGGGAGGCCCTTTTGCTTAGTGAGTATAACCAATATTAAAGATCCAGTAAAGGAGAAAACACAATAAATTGTCATATACAATAGTCGCACATTGTACGTTTTTCCTTTGTTAAGTGAAATGTGAAGCCTTGAATAAAAACACAATTATTTAAGATTATTATAAGATAGTTTAATTATTATTTCAGCTTGATCACTTAACATTTAATAATATTAAAAGTAAATAAAATAATTTGACTGACCTACCTGTTCACTGCATTTCAAAATTGAATGTGAACAATAATATAGATATATCGACGCTACTTTACCAGTCCACTATATCGATATCTCGGTATCCTTCAAAATTCCTAAATTTTCGATTTTACATGGATTGCAATTGTTTCTCAGAAACAATATGTGTATATACAACATTTGGCTTAGCAATAGGACTGGCTCTAATCCCAAACTTATGAAAAGAATTTTCTTCAATAGTATTTTAAATGTTCAATTTACAATCTTTTATTAACATCTGATATCCAGGAGCAAAGTTGACTCTATTCCAATATACCCTTTCCTTAGTTGTTTTTCGTTATTGTTTTCTATTGTTGACCTGTTGTGTATTAATTCTTATTAACTTTATTTTGGCTTAAGGTTTTTCTTATGTATAAATTAGCATATGCTGGTAAGCAATGGACAAAACAGGTAGGGTCGACTAAATTATACACTGCACCACTATGCATATTAAGGAGTTCTGTCCGTAACAAATATAAATATAGTATTGAAATGTGTGCGAGAGAATGCGTATTATGACATAAGAGCGGCTGAACCTAAAAATCGGATTATCGTTTTGAATACAAAAAGAAAATGATTTTAGTGCACAACGATGATAAATAATTATCTTTCTGAATTTTTATCTTTCCCCTAGACCTCGTGCTTCGGCTGGAAGATAGCAACACATTCAAACAAACAAAAATGGCCGATACAGCCATATGGGGATGTAGTGCAATAATCTGTCAAATGAGGATTCAAAAAGCATAATTCATTGGGACATCTATTAGTGAAATACCGATATAAAGAGGCACTGTATCATACGGACTATACAAAATGGTAGAGCGAATGGAAAATTTAGTATGAAAAGGATTCGTATCCTCCGAAAATTCTTACAAAATCTTCAAGATACTTAAATCCCATAAATTTGATAGAGGCGTTTTACACAGTTTTGTTGTACCAAAAGGAATCATATGAAATTATCCCTTGATTTCAGCTATTTCCGGGGTATTGACCACATTTTTCGATTGATTAGGCCCCTTTTGGCATCTTGGCTTCCAAAGGGTTAGAAAACCTATTCGCAGAAAATGTCCAATGTAGGTCAATGTTTTGGAGTAGCGCCCATATAAAGGTATCTTCTGATTTTATCTATTTCGAGTCGATTTGACCTAAAATGTATATTAAGGCTACTTTGGGGGTAGAGAACCGTCGTAAAGAAAAATTTCAACAGGGGTGGTATTTATTATAGCCCCCTAAAACAGTACCTCCCAGGACCACCGATCTATAGTGATTTTAGCCGAGTGGTGGACAAACAAACGGATGTTCTTTAATCGTCATTGAATTTTACTATGATCAAAAATATAGGTGTTGTGGTAATGGGTAGAAGAGTAATTAGCTTTCACGATACTGAAATCATTCTGCCCTCAATTATGAGGTGGAAAAAAATAAATACCAAGCAGAACGATCTTCTGAACATTGCAAGTTACAGCATGGCGTTGTTTGAATATATTTCGCTTACCAGATATTACAGCACACATTACAGCAAAGACAGAAGAACCAAAAGTAATACGACAGCATGAAAAATTGAACAGAATATCCAAAGTTATGATCATCCAATTTGAATAGATGCACCAAAGAATATAGAAGATACCCTGTCGCCAAGCAGACGGACATGATGCTTAGTGTCATTCCATGCAGTGTTCTCAATTCTCTTATTCGAAAGTGGACATAAGATACCAATAAAAGACATGGTATAGAAATCAGCATTAAAATACCAACAATTAGAATTTGACTTCGGTTGATATGCTCATCCACTGCAGTGATGCATACAATAGCATATGTGGTCCCCGATGAATTTTCTATATCAATGCAGTACTTATTCTCCATGGTGTACGTTTCATTTGCATAAGTGTCCATAACAAGTAGGGAACCGTCTTGTACAACATAAAATAAATCATCTCCGCTGTTGTATAAAAAGGACCTGTGAAAGTAGTACAAGAAAAAACTTTTAGTATATTAAAAACTTAAGGCATATCGATTTTCACATAAAATTTAGTTAAGCTTCTTTTTCCTTTCTTTATGTTAAAATCAGTTTTCCTATAAGCCGAATGAATAAGTTGGCCTTCAGCTTCCTGGATCTAGTCAATCAATTGGCATTGTGTGCTTCAATTTTTAAGATTGAAACTGTATGATTTCCAGTTTTAATAAGCTTAACAGCGTTACCCAAAACTCAACGTACTATATGAATTTCACAGATATAAGGCTTGCGTACGAGATTTTAAATTTGAACATATTCAACATTGCCAGTTGAACAATTTGCTTTTTGTATTTTGAAAATAGGAATGAATAATCTAATAAATGTGAATGTTTGTAATTATCAATTATATAATGTTGTGAATTCCATAAATGATCAATTTTTACAACTTTATTATTTGATGGATTTTAAGATATGTACTTGGCGTATTTGGATATTATGGAGGCAAAAATATTTTAACGCTGAAAATCCGACAACAAATTTGACAGCATTGTCCGAAGCAAGAACAAATTGGGTTATGGGAGCGACCGTTATTTAAGCGGAGAAAACAAAAATTCAAAAAATAATATAACTATTCAAAACTATTTTCGTGGAACTTCCAGAAAAATAACAAATAACTGACAAAATTATACAAAATTCGTATATTACCGACAGTAGGGTAAACAAGTTAAAAAGCAGTAAGTTCGGCCGGGCCGAACTTTGAATACCCTCCACCATTTGGAACGAATTTGGAAATTTAAAAAAAATGTAATCCTTAAAAAATTCTATTAAATTATAAATACACCGAATATTGCCGTTATATTGGGGTCTATACGACAGGGGCCTACATAGGCATTGTTTGCCATAAGCCATTACCATATTCAAATTCGAAACTTGAAATAAACGGTGAATAATGTGGCTAAAATCATCAAAATATCGTATATAGGGAGGTACCATTATATCGGAGCTGTGCGAAGACCTGGACCAGCATAGACAATTTTCTGTCACTGGCTATAGCATCCATTACTTACGTCAAATACAATATCTCAAACAATTTCAGTGGGTATTGTACCTAAACTCGTCAAAATACCGAATATAGGGAGGTACTGATATATGGGGCCTATACGAAGACCTGGAACTGCATAGACATTTTTCTGTCACAGACTGTAGTTCCTATTACGAACTCTAAATACGTAATTTGAAACACTTCCGGTGAATAATGGCGCTAAAATCATCAAAATACCGAATTTTGGGAGGTACCGTTATGTGGGGGCTATACGAAGACCTGGACCTGCATAGACATTTTTTTGTCACAGACTGTAGTTCCCATTACGAACTCTAAATACGTAATTTGAAACAATTCCGGTGAATAATGGCGTTGAAATCATCAAAATACCGAATTTTGGGAGGTACCGTTATATGGGAGCTATACGAAGACGTGGACCTGCACAGACAATTTTCTGTCATAGGCTGTAGTATCCATATCGAACTTCAAATACCAAAATTGAAACAATTCCGGTGAATAATGTCGCTAAAATCATTAAAATACGGAATATCGGGAGGTACCGTTATATGGGGGCTATATGAAAACGTGGACCTACATGGCCCATTTACGAACTTAACCTGCCTACTGGAAAAATAAACAGGTGTGCAAAATTTTAGCCTTCTATCTCAATTCGTTCGAAAGATAGCGTGATTACAACAGACAGACAGACAGACGGACAGACAGACGGACAGACAGACAGACAGACAGACGGACATGGCTAAATCGACTTAGAATTTTACGCTGATCAAGAATATATATACTTTGTTGGGTCTAACATGAGTATTTCGAGGAGTTACAAACGGAATGACAAAGTTAATATACCCTCCATAGTATGGTGGAGGGTATAAAAACGGGTGAATACAAATTATTAAAGAAAATAAAGTAAAATTAACTTTATAAATGAATATTTAACAACAAAAAGAAAAAGAAAACAATTTTGAACTAATTATTATTAAAATAAATTTCCCCTATTTTACTATCTGGCCCACTGTTAAAGTGACAGCAACCGCAAAAAACACAAGCGGCGTCGGCAGAGCGATCAACGTATGTTAGAGAGCGCAACCAACGTCGACCACCTAACAGTGATAGATGGGTAAGAGAAATAAATGGTTGCTTTGATTTGAATTGCTTATTGAATATTAATAAACGCAGTGAGAAAAGGCGATTGGATTTTTTGGGTATTATTGTTGTTGGCAATAAACGAAAAATAAATTAACGAAATCGATCAAACAGTGAGAGTCGGAAATGGGATGAAATTGTTGGTATTTTTTAAATTGTAAATAAGGCACGATGAATGATAATAGTATTATTTTATTTTAATAATAGTGTTATTTTTTCTAAATAGTGGCTGACGATTTCAACGACAAAAGTAAGGTATGGAGAAGAGAGTATAGTAAATATGTCATTCCGTTTGTAACACTTCCAAATATACCTTGAAGACGTCATGATATTCGTCATCAGTATAAATTTATATTTCGATTTAACTAGGTCAACCTCTCTGTTGGAGATATAGTCTATATCGTTCATTCACTCAAAGACTGCCATAATTAAAAAATTCCGTAAGAGAAAGACATGGGTTTGCTTGGGTTCACGTTTACCTATAACTCTATTAAAGTTTCGGCCGAACTTAACTTCTTTATTTGTTATTAATACAATTACCTTTCATCATAAAACTACATTGCTGCCAAAAGGGGATTTCCTTCTCCTATCAACATATTTGTCGAAAATATACCGATCTCATACACATAAACTTAAATATATTCTTATTTTCTGATAATTTTTTGGTTTTGTCAATGACAGTGCTGAGTTCATTAACTTTCTTTCACTTTCCAATACTCTGGTCGTCTTTGTTAGTCACTTGACTTATTCTATGGCTTTCGGTGTGATCACAAGCAAAGTTAGTCACGTCTCTTAGAAACTCAAACACTTTACCAATAAACCATTGAATATACCATTACACAAAATTACATATCCTTGATTTTATTTCTTTTCGACTTTATTTCTTGCTCCAACATTTTGATCCATTTGAGCAGGATCATTTTCCAAAGTTGTTGCAGTTTTTCTAATACTTGTTTTTTCCTATTTCAAAACGAAGAATTATCAAGATCAAGATCCCTCTTATCAGTACGCATTATCTTGTCATCAACATCATTCAAGCCATCAAATAATCACGGCATTATTTACCGGAATTGATAAAAACATAGATTCGCCATGACATTTAAAGGTAGCGGCAAATTTGTTTCAACCAATCAGAAACAAGGTGTTTGTTTACATTTTATTTTGTGTGCCTCTCGTCGTAAACGAACGTCGCAATAAAAGTTTTTATTGTAAAACAAATAAGATTAAAATAAGTATTAATTGTAGTATTGCGATATTTTTTAAACCAAGAAACTTATAATGACTATATTTTACTGGTTTAAACCGAAAGTTCTCCGGAACTGCAAATGGCAAGAGTCGAATTCTTGCACTACCTCCCGTGATGTGCTTTGGGAATCTTAGATGTTGAGGCTAACTTAATTCTTAAAGCTGCACTCCATTCACTCTAAACTTGCTCTTAAATTATTTGAAATATTATAAAAAGGTACTATTAGGGAAGACAACATAAACAAATTTGTTGTTGCATTCATTTAGGACGAATTCTTCATTACAACAAATTGTTTTGACATTTAATGGTGCCGTCAGCTGGGCTGATGCGATTACCTAGTACATCTACCTTGGTTGTAACTTTATTTCAAATGTCTAATATTTACAGAGTTGTATGATAAGGTAGTAATGAAGAGTTGTAAAGTGTAGGATCATTGATATGAAATTTTCATTTGCATTGCCATGGTCAACTGTTTTACGATATCGAATCTAGAATTGATAAGCCATGAACGTTATTGCCCCGTTGAGCTATCATTGGTTTATGTCCAATTAGGTGTTTATGTCAGTTAGCAAATTTAAATTTTGACCATACAAAACTTGATGAAATCGTTTGACCCGGAAAGCTATTGCCAAACTTTATTTTTTAATCTGACTGTAATTTTCCTGATGTCTGTCTAATGTTTTTGAAGCAAATGCAATAGGTCTTTGTGATCCATCTGGGTAAATATGAGAAATAACAGATCCTATACGAAGCATTGGTTACCAAAACAATAGTAAATTATTTTGAACATGCGCGATCTGTGTAGCATTCACTATGTGAGCTTTTATTTCGTCAGTTTTAGCTCAGTTTTAGCATTACAAATTATTTTGAACATGTGCGATCTGTGTAGCATTCACTATGTGAGCTTTTATTTCGTCAGTTTTAGCCCATATGAATTTAACATTCTTCATCCGCATTACATTGATTGGTGCTGCAAATTTTCCAAAAATTTTGTGCAAAATGAAGGCAGTAATTTATCTTGCCCATAAATGCCTCTAGTTACTTTATATTTTTAAGAAGTTTTAAATGTTAAACGGCTTAATTCATCTTCCAATATACTATTGGTAATAAATATGTTATCTTACTTTTCGAAATATTGCATTCCTCCTTCTTACAATATACACCATTGGCTAATACATTTTTGAATACCTTTTCAAGACGCTGGATATGTTGTTCTATAATTGGTGCTGATATGATAATAACATCCAAATAGTTTGCACAAACTTCTACGCCGTGAAGTAGTTGTTCAATGTTTTTTGAAAAATAGCTGGTGTACTGGCGATTTCGTATGGTAAGAGTCCAAGTGGTGTATTAATTATCATAATATCGTTCGTCCAACTCAATCTGAAGTGTGAAATAAACGAATCGTGTGAAATAAACTTTCCCGTGTAGATAGAGGATGCTGTTCATTGACAATTTGCGAATTTACAGCATTTTTGAAAACACCACAATCGCGAATTGAGTTGTTTGGCTTTTTGGCTAGCACTATTGGGGATGCCCAATCACTAATTTTTAAAA